CTCCTTTTGCTTCTGCCTCCCCTGCAGGACTGAATTTGCAAGATGACAGCAGTAAAGTGTCCTGGACCGGGAGGTTGGTGTCACAAAGGCCAAACTCAGGTTCCCACACTCTATCACTCTACCAGGGAGTTGCTGACAGAATTCTGCCCCACCCATCATAGGGGTGATGTTGGAGGGGAAGCCTGGGAGGACTATTTCCATGTGTCAGAGCTAAAACACCAATTCCCAGAGGCAGGATGGAGGCAGGTATGTGGAGACACAGGAGTGGAGAGGCTCGCTATATATGTTCTTGAGCAGCTCACTTCCTTTCTTTCTTTTTTTTTTGAGACGGAGTTTCGCTCTTGTTACCCAGGCTGGAGTGCAATGGCGCGATCTCGGCTCACCGCAACCTCCGCCTCCTGGGTTCAGGCAATTCTCCTGCCTCAGCCTCCTGAGTAGCTGGGATTACAGGCACGCGCCACGATGCCCAGCTAATTTTTTGTATTTTTAGTAGAGACGGGGTTTCACCATGTTGACCAGGATGGTCTCGATCTCTTGACCTCGTGATCCACCCGCCTCGGCCTCCCAAAGTGCTGGGATTACAGGCTTGAGCCACCGCGCCCGGCCTTCCTCTTTTGTTTTTTTTTTTTTTAAGACGGAGTTCTTGTTGCCCAGGCTGGAGTGTTGTGGTGAGATCTCGGCTCATTGGAACCTCTTCCAAGCGATTCTCCTGCCTCACATTCCGAGTAGCTGGGATTACAGGCATGTGCCATGATGCCCAGCTAAATTTTATATTTTTAGTAGAGACAGGGTTTTGCCATGTTGGACAGGCTGGTCTCAAACTCCTGACCTCAGGTGATCTGCCTGCATCGGCCTCCCCAAATGCTGGGATTACAGGCATGAGCCACCACAGCCCGCTTTTCCTCTTCTTTTAGAGATGAGGTCTCATATGTTGCCCGTGCTGAAGTACAGTGGCTTTTCACAGATGCAATGATAGCACGCTACAGCCTTGACCTCCTGAGCGCCAGTGATCCTCCAGCCTCAGCCTCTTGAGTACTGGAACTACAGACCGTTGCCACTGCACCCGGCTGCCTCAGTTGCTTTAATTGAGAAAGCGGACAATAACTCCCATCTCCAGAGTAATTTGGAAATCAAAGAACACACACCAAGCGGTTTCATTAAGCTCTCTGTACCATGGGGAACTCTGGCTACAACTTACATCATCTGAACACCTACTACGTGCCAAGTACTCACCCTGATCATCGCCACCTGAATGAAACTGGCACAGTGGGCACTGCCATTTTTCACCCAGAGATGCTTGGAGGTTACGTAACTGAACATGATTACACAGCTGTGGAGCTGAAGATGGACCTGGAACTGAGATCGAACTTCATCGCCTTTGCTCCCCACACACCTGCCTACACCCTGCCTCTGGGAATGGTGTTTCAGCCTTCACACAGGGGACAATCCTCCCAGGCTCCATCTCCAACCCCACCCCGATGGTGGGTGGGGCAGAATTCCGCCCAACTCCCTGAGCTACGGTGGGTCTCAGTTTCCTCATCTGTCCAACAGAGACCCCACTGCGGCCCCTCACAGGATGGCAGATACAGGAATTACCCCCCCCGCCACACACACACACCAAAGCACCCTGGGCCTCCCTCGCACTCTCCGGTTCCCCACCTGCCACCTGGAGACGCTCCTTTCCCATCCCTCACCCCCAGGCGGGGAGACGAATGCGCAGGTGGTCCCATCTGTTTCCCCGCCAACCCCGTGCTCACCAGGGGTCCGGCTGCCGTCGCTCAGCGGGTGCCATGGGTCACGGTCGGTGGCCACGAGCAGGCAGTCGGGGTCGCGCAGGTGCGCGCACGCCTCGCTCAGCTTGGCGAAGGAGAAGTGCTCGTCGTAGCCCACGAGCACGGCGCGCACGCGCGGGGCCTCGCCGTCCCCAGCGCCCAGGTCGTCGCCGGTGTCCCCGGCCAGGCGCAGCCCCGCAGCGCGCAGTTCGGCGCGCAGCCCTTCGCCACCCAGCACGAACACGGCGCCCGGCGCGTCCGGAGGCCCAGGCAGGCGCTGCCGCAGCAGGCGCGCAGCGCACAGCGCGGAGCTGAAGAGCTGCTCGGCGCGCAGCCCCCCGAAGCCAAGGCGCGCGAAGCGCAGGGCCAGCTCGGGCCGCGCGCGCCGGCTGTTGTTGCTCACGAACAGCGCCGCCTTGCCGGCCCGCGCCAGCCGTTCCAGCAGCTCTGGGGCGCCCGGCACGGCGCGCTCACCGTTCCACAGCACCCCGTCACAGTCGAACAGGACCCCCTGCGCCCGGCCTAGCACGTCGCGCAAGGCCGCGCCGCGCAGCCTCTCGCAGCGCGCCATGCAGCCAGCTGGCCGCCAGCCTCCCGCGCGGCGCGCTCTCCGCGGGCACGGCGCGCTCGTCCTGGCACGTTCCCCTCAGCAGCCAATCGGCGCGCCGGAAGGACCTGGGGGGCGGGGCGACGGCCTGGCCTGCGGCCAATGGGGGCGGGAGTCTGGGAGAGGAGCGAGGCCGCGAGCTAACGGAACTTGGAGAAAGGGGCGGACTCTCGGCCACCACCGAGGGGTAAGGGACCAATGAAGTGCTAGCTTGATCTTTCTCCCCGCCCCTGACTTTGCTGAGCCAGTCGCCGCCGAGTTTCAACATCGATTACTGTCTCATAGTGGGTGGGAGACTGACGCTCTTCTTAACCAATGAGAATCTACAAACAGAAAACGCGAGGCGAAAGGCTTCGCGCTCTCCAGCCAATCAGAAGCTTAGGAGAGCTGGTTGCTAGGAGAAAAACAGATGCCAAATAAACGGTCCTTTGGGTCAATTTTCATTGTCCTCTGAATCGTGGACGCTCCAGTTCTGAGCGAAGTCCCAAGAAACGTGTGGGTATGATAAGGTAGGAGGCACATGGTGTCTTCTTGGGCGCTGGGACCCTTGGTCTAGACCAGTGGTTCCTCACACTGCATTACAGTCCCCTGGGAACTTATTTTCAGGTATCATTTACACACAGTAAAATGCATAGATCTGAAATGTACAGTTCAATGTCTTTTGACAAATGCTTTTAAAATCACCGATGTGTAGCAGGACAGATTCTCATGTAATTGTTCTGGGTGAGGACTGGGCATTTTTTGGTTGGTTGGTTGAATTATAGGGGTTCTCCTGTGAGGCTAGCTAGCGTAGGGAAGCGCTGGACTAGAGGCAGGGAGGCTGTTACCTGAGCACGCCTCGGGAGGGCCGGAGCCAGAGTGGCCGGGGTTGATTGCCCAGGATGGTGATGGGGCGACCCAGGCTGGCTGGGGTCCCATTTTAGGGAGTGGGGGGGCTTGTGATCTGGAGGCAACCGCAGGTCTTGGGGCCTTTGAGGAGCCACTGGTCTGCGGTGTGGGGATGAATGAATTGTGAGCCGTGGTGTCACAGTTTTGAAGTTGTCTGCCAACTTCAGAGGAGGCTGTGACCCCCAGGAGCACTGGAGCTCTAAAGATTTGGGAAAAATCGTACCTTGTAACCCAGCGTTTGAGGCTTCAACTACCTCCTATTCCCCAATGCCCCCAGCCTTTTTGCTCCTGGCCTTTGGATAGGTAGTCTTATTGGCCCGAACGTTCCTTTTTCCTTTAAAAATTTCACCTTCAGGTCAGTTCCTGAAAGACTTCCCTTAAATATCACCTCCTTCAAGAAGCCTTCCTTAACCACCCACCCCATACACACGAGTCTACTTTATATGGCCAACCCCGCACTTGGCTAATATGGGCTCCCAGTGCAATGACACTTGATTTTTTTTTTTGAGATGGAGTTTTGCTTTTGTTGCCCAGGCTGGAGTGCAATGGCGCGATCTCAGCTCACCACAACCTCCACCTCCTGGGTTCAGGCAATTCTCCTGCCTCAGCCTCCTGAGTAGCTGGGATTACAGGCACGCACCACCATGCCCAGCTAATTTTTTGTATCTTTAGTAGAGACGGGGTTTCACCATGTTGACCAGGATGGTCTCGATCTCTTGACCTCGTGATCCACCCGCCTCAGCCTCCCAAAGTGCTGGGATTACAGGTGTGAGCCACCACACCCGGCCAAGACAGGGTCTTACATTGTCACCCAGGCTGGAGTGGAGTGACATGATCACTGCTCACTGCAGCCTCAAAACTCCTGGGCTCAAGCGATCGTCCTGCCTCAGCCCCTTCCTAGTTGCTGGGATTATAGGCACATGCCACTACACCCAGTTAATTTTATGAAAAAAAATTGTTTTTTTTAGAGACAGGGGTCTCACTGTGTTGCCCAGGCTGGTGTAGAACTCCTGGACTCAAGCAATTTTCTTACCTTGGCCTTCCAAAGTGTTGGGATTACAGGCGTGAGCCACTGTGCCTGACCAGACACTTGATTCTAATTGTCACTCCTGCCTGTCTGTTCAGGAACTCCTTGGGTGCAGAGTTAAGTCTGGGAGCTAGCTCAGGGCCTGGCACAGACATTTAGGGAAAGTTTGAGGACAGATCCATCCCTGCTCCTTGGGGAGCCTTCCCAGCCTCCTCCCGGAAGGAGAGTGAGGGGTCCGGGAAACAGTGGGAACGGTAGGCACTTCTGTGGGCCAGGGGTGGTGCTTCGGTTTTTACAGGAGAGCAGTGCTTCTGTGGTGGGAATTTGGGATATTCCCAAATGAGGAAAAGGGATACCAGGAAGTTAAGTCGATTGCTCAGAATGTGAGGGACGAGCCAGGCTTTCAAGTCAGAGCTAGGTCCCGATCCCAGGCCCCTGCTGACCGCCGTGGGACCTTGGCGCGTCACTTCTGCCTGAGCCTTGGTGTCCTCACTGGAGACAGGTAACAGTGTTTACTGTACTAGGAGATCAGGTGGAAATCATCCACAGAAAAGCAGCGTGTAGTGCAGAGAAAGCTCTAAAAATGTTTGCTGTGATCTCATTTCAGACAGGAAGAAAGGAGGCAAAGAATATGTAATTTTCCCCCTTTATAAAATTGGCTTCTTTATTTCGAGGACAGAAAAGAAAGCTATCATTTGGGCAGCTGTTCCGGTTTTGTCCAAAATAATTTATTTACCAGCCTTACAAAAAAATCTGTTGGCAAAGAATGAAAGTCCTGGAGGGGCCGGCAAGCCTCTCCTTCCTTCCGGTGGCTCCCCTAGGATCTGCCGGAGAGTGGAGAGTCCAGTTCGGGCCCCCAAGCCCAGGGTGGATGAGGAAAAGGTCAGGAAGCGGACTGTCCTGAGCCCTCCTGGCCATGGGGGCCGGCCCAATGGGCACAAAGGCACTTGTGGACAAAGGCTGGAGCCCCACACCCCTTGGGAGGCATGAGAGATGTTTTGGGAGGGCCAGGGAGGGAGGGAGGGGATGCTGACGGTGGCTCAGGGAGAAACTGGCCACTCAGTTGGTCTCTGAGGCAAGACTCCTGGGGCGGGGCTGAGGGGGGATAACTGGGGGAGTGTGGACCCCACCCACAGCCTCAGGGGCTCCTCCCTCTGCTGTGGGAGCCCCCAAGTCTGCCTGTGCTGGGGTGGTCAGAGAGGCTGGGCTGGGGGAGGCTGGACCCGGGGAGGCTGAGCCGGGGGAGGCTGGTGAACGCCGGCTTTGGCGCCGGGCAGGCTGAGGAGGGGTGGGGGGCAACGGCGGTGGCACTGTGGGGGCCCGGAGGCTGCTGCCAACCAGACGTCGGGGCAGGGCTTGGGGGGTCCCAGGGCTTCCAGAGCCAGAGGGCAGGGGTGGAGCTGGAGGGGAGGAGCGGGTGCCGGAGACCTGGGGGGGTGGCATGGTGGGCCGGGCCGGTGCTGGGCGCTTGGCTGTGGAGAAAGGAAAGGGGGAGGGAGGTTGAGCGTCCAGGTGGCCTGTGGTGACTCCACCAAGCTCTGTGCCCCTCACAACCTTTGCATCGCCGTTCCCCCGGCCGGGAACACTGTTTCCGAGGCTGGCTCCTTATCTGGACCTCTCCTTATGCCCGTCGCCCCCTCGGAGGCCCCCCCGAGCACCCTAGCTACAGCAGCACCCCATGCCCACCCCAGCTGCTCCATCACATTTTCCAGTTTCATTTTCTATTTTTTATTTTTTTTTTATTTTTTTGAGACGGAGTTTCGCTCTTGTTACCCAGGCTGGAGTGCAATGGCGCGATCTCGGCTCACCGCAACCTCCGCCTCCTGGGTTCAGGCAATTCTCCTGCCTCAGCCTCCTGAGTAGCTGGGATTACAGGCATGTGCCACCATGCCCAGCTGATTTTTTGTATTTTTAGTAGAGACGGGGTTTCACCGTGTTGACCAGGATGGTCTCGATCTCTTGACCTCGCGATCCACCTGCCTCGGCCTCCCAAAGTGCTGGGATTACAGGCTTGAGCCACCGTGCCCGGCTCCAGTTTCATTTTCTTTGCGAGACTTTTTGTCCTCTGAAATTATCTTGTCCATTTAATTTTTATTTATTTTTTGGAAACGGAGACTCACTCTGTCACCCAGGCTGGAGTGCAGTGACGCAATCTCGGCTCACTGTACCCTCCGCCTCCCAGGTTCAAGCAATTCTCCTGCCTCAGCCTCTTGAGTAGCTGGGGCTACAGGCATGTGCCACCACGCCCAGCTAATTTTTGTATTTTTAGTAGACACGTGGCTTCACTCCAGTGCCCCAGCGCTCACGCCGCCTCCCCTTTAGTGGGCACTTGCTATGTGCCAGGACCAGGCACTTTCTGTAGCACCACTGAAGGCTCCATGCAGCCCCATAAGATGAGTGCAGTTATTGTCCCATTACACAGAGGAGGAAGGTGAGGCTCAGACAGGTGAACTCACCTGCCCAAAGTCAAAGAGCTCAAATTTAAACTCAACTGGGGCTTTTTAATCACCTCGATTCCTGCCTCCCTGGCTGCCTAAAGAGGTCGGAGGACCCTGGGACTGCCTGTCCCCTCTCCCTACCCACCCTCTGTCCCCTCCCACAGCCAACTCACTCCTCCGAGCCACGTCCTCCACTGGGGCAGCTGTCTCCAGGGGGCTCCTGGTGACCTTGGGGGAGGCTGGTCTGGGCGGCACCTCAGACTCTGTCCTGCAGAGGGAAGGACAGCATGGGGCAGACTTGGCCACCTCCCAGAAGCCTCATGGAATCCTGGTGAGGCTCCAGCTGCCAGGTGGAGTCTGGGTCCTCCCAGCACCCACCCTCTGCCACCTTGTGGCTGCTCCTGGGATCTGTCCCCAGGCCCCACACTCCTGCCAGAAGACGCTTCTGGCATTGGTTAGGGGTCTGTGTCCACTGAGCTCCCTGCTGCTCTGTGACCCTGTGATGGAGTCCATGTTCCTCCAGGGACTAGGAGGGAGCCCCACCTGCCTGGGTGGTAGGGCCAGGATGGGAGGTAGGACACAGGCCCTGACCTCTGCCTCAGCTCAGGGCCTCCACCTGCTTTTTCTGCGGGGGATGGAGTCTTGTACTGTCATCCAGGCTGGAGTGCAATGGCACAATCCTGGCTCACTGCAATCTCCGCCTCCCAGGTTCATGTGATTCTCCTGCCTCAGCCTCCCAAGTAGCTGGGATTATAGGTGTGCACCACCACCCCTGGCTATTTTTTGGTATTTTTAGTAGACACAAGGTTTCACTATGTTGGCCAGACTAGTCTGGAACTCCTGACCTCCTGATCTGCCCGCCTTGGGCTCCCAACGTGCTGGGATTACAGGCGTGAGCCACTGTGGCCGGCCAGTTGTTTTTTTTGAGACAATTCTTGCTGTCGCACAGGCTGGAGTGCAGTGGCATGAACCCACCCTCTCCAAGCTGGGAGATCTGGTCTTTGGGATGAAAATACTAATCAGGCGGGTGTGGTGGCCCACGCCTATAATCCCAGCACTTTGGGAGGCCAAGGTGGGTGGATCACCTGAGGTCAGGCAGTTCAAGACTAGCCTGGCCAACATGGTAAAACCCCGCCTCTACTAAAAATAAAAAAACTTAGCCAGGCATGCTGGCAGGTACCTGTAATGCCAGCTACTAAAGAGGCTGGGGCAGGAGAATTGCTTGAACCCGGGAGGTGGAGGTTGCAGTGAGCCTAGATTGTGCCACTGTACTCCAGCCCGAGCCACAGAGTAAGACCTTATCTCAAAAAAAAAAAAAAAAAAAAGACTAATCATTACATTTCAAAAATTCAGCTTCTGGTTCTGAGACATGGTGCCTCAGGCAGGCTGTCTGTGGGACTACCACAGGAGCCAGCCATTCATACTGCTCAGACCTCACCTTTCCTTGGTAGCCGCTGAGGCCAAGGCTGGGGCTGGACCCAGAGCTGGAGCCGGAGCCAGGGTGGTGGCTGAGGTGGGCACAGTGGTGGGCGGAGGCTCATCAGAGGTCAGCCTGTCACTGACTGTGTCCTGGAGGGTGACGGCTGAGAAGAGGCCTGACACGTTGAAGCTGATATCTGGGGACAGGAGCAGATGGCTCTGAGAAGACTGCGCCAGGCTCTGCCTCCACTGGCTGGGCCGTTTTTCCTTCCCCTGAACCCATCTGGACCATGGTCAGCTTCCCGGCTCCCATGTAGCCCCATCACAACCCCACAAAGCAGGCAGACCTTCTCCATTGTAGAAATGAGAAACTGAGGCTCAGAGAGGAGACGCAACTTCCTCCCAGCCTCAGGGTGAGTTTGTGGGGCTGCTGGGGAGGGAGCAGGGCAGAGGGAGGGCACCCAGCAGGGCATCCGCACAGACGGGAGCTTCACCTCCAGGGAAGAGGGTGTCTGCGCTCTGGATCAGCGCCTCGACTACGCCCACCACCTGGATGGAAGACACGGAGGCTGCATCCAGCTGGGCCTGGTCCCTGGGACAAAGAGATACATCCATTTAGCGAAGCGTTTGTGACCCCAGCTCTCTGTCTGGCCCTGTGCTGGGCACTGGAGACATGAGGACCCATCATGTTAAGTCCTTGTCCTCAAAAAGCCCACAAACCACCAGTGTCACGCACATGCCAGATGTCCCCCTTCCTTCCCCCTGACAGACATGACTCATTAATCGAGGACCCTCTTCCTCATGGTTGTGATCTAGGCTGCCTCCACCAAGCAAATGCGATCAGCACGTGGAAGGACATCTCCGTGGCCAGGTAAATAACGAAGACGCCTCGCAGAGCACTACCCTTTGCACTTGAATTTTACTATTTCTTTTTCTTTCATTTTTGAGACAGAGTCTTGCTCTGTTGCCCAGGCTGGAGTGCAGTGGTGTGATCCTGGCTCACTGCAATCTCTGCCTCCCGGGTTCAAGCGATTCTCCTGCCTCAGCCTCCCAAGTAGCTGGGATTACAAGCGCTTGCCACCATGCCTCGCTAATTTTTTGTATTTTTAGTAGAGATGGGGTTTCACAGTGTTGGCCAGGTTGGTATTGAACTCCCGACCTCGGGTGATCGACCTGCCTTGGCCTCCCAAAGTGCTGGGATTACAGGCATGAGCCACTGCACCTAGCCTATTCATTTTTAGAGACAGGGTCTCCTTCTGTCACCCAGGCTGGAGTGCAGTGGCACCATCATGGGTCACTGCAGCCTTGACTCCCTGGGATCAAGCTGTCCTCCCACCTCAGCCTTCTCAGTAGCTGGGACTTCAGGTACAGGTGACCATGACTGGCTAATCTTTTTAATTTTTTTTATAGAGACAGGGTCTCATTAAGTTGCCCAGGCTGGCTTCAAACTTCTGGGCTCAAGTGATCTTCCCACCTTGGCCTCCCAAAGTGCTAGGCTGACAGGCATAAGCCACTGTACTTGGCTTACACTTTATAGTTCATAAAACATTTCCCAGCCGAGTGCGGTGGCTCACACCTGTAATCCCAGCACTTTGGGAGGCCAAGGCAGGCAGATATCACCTGAGGTCGGGAGTTTAAGACCAGCCTGACCAACATGGAGAAACCCTGTCTTTACTAAAAACATAAAATTAGCCAGCCAAGGCCGGGCGCGGTGGCTCAAGCCTGTAATCCCAGCACTTTGGGAGGCCGAGGTGGGTGGATCACAGGGTCAAGAGATCGAGACCATCCTGGTCAACATGGTGAAACCCCGTCTCTACTAAAAATACAAAAAAGTAGCTGGGCATGGTGGCACATGCCTGTAATCCGAGCTACTCAGGAGGCTGAGGCAGGAGAATTGCCTGAACCCAGGAGGCGGAGGTTGCGGTGAGCTGAGATCACACCATTGCACTCCAGCCTGGGTAACAAGAGTGAAACTCCGTCTCAAAAAAAAAAAAAATTAGCCAGCCATGGTGGTGCATGCCTGTAACTCCAACTACTCGGAAGGCTGAGGCAGGAGAATCGCTTGAACCTGGGAGGCGGAGGTTGTGGTGAGCCGAGATCTCGTCACTACACTCCAGCCTGGGCAACAAGAGCAAAATTCCATCTCAAACACATAAACACACACACACACACACACACACACACACACACCCCATTTCCCAATTCATCATCTCACCCAATTCCCAAAGCAAAAGCCCTCAAAGTTTGTATAACATCCCCCTAATTTACAGGTGAGGAAACGGAGGTTCTGAGGGTGACTTCCTCAGGCCCATCTCTGGAAGGTGGAGGTGTGGAGCTATTCATAGAACCCGATCTCCCAGCTCCCACTGCCCAGAATCCCACTGCCCAGAATCCTATCTCCATAGCCCTGTGGCCCGCATGGCCCTTCAGCCTGTTGCTCCAGGCAGCCTCAGAAATGAGCTGCTCAACCCACTCGACAGTGGGGACATCCAAGACCCAGGGGAAAAATGGGCAAAAAGATGGCTGGGGTGGGATCTGCCTTCCGCCTGCCGCCTCCCGCAACCCGAGGCCCCTCACCCTTCTTTCTCAGGTGGCCACAGCAGGTTGGGTCCCAGGACGATGGCGATGTTGCTGGGTGTCATCTTGTTCACCTCCTGCTCCTCAGCCAGCCGTGCCAGGAACTTCATCAAGTACCTAAGGGTGGAGGGGGGCTTGGGCCAGGGCAGAATGCACCCGGCCCTGCTAATTCTCCAGCCTACGGTTTCCAGAGTGTGTAAGACGATGCCCAGAATGGTCTAACATTGTCACAGTTAAATCAGCTCATCCACTGAGCGCCAAGCCTGTGGTGGGCACTGAGCCAAGTCTTTGCGGCCCAACTACAGGGTGGGGACTGTGACAATCTGCATTTTCCAGATGATGACACGGAGCTGCCTGCCCAGAGATGGCATGTGAAGCCAGGCAGTATGGTTTCAAAAGTTCAAGGTCTTATTTATTTCAATGCCTCGAATAAAAACATACAACTAATCCAGTTAGGCGCAGTGGCTCATGCCTTTAATTTGGCACTTTCAAAGGCCGAAGCAGGTAGATCATGAGGTCAGGAGTTTGAGACTAGCCTGGCCAACATAGTGAAACCACGTGTCCACTAAAAATAGAAAAATTAACTGCGTGTGGTGGTGGGCGCCTGTAGTACCAGCTACTTGGGAGGCTGAGGCACAAGAATTGCTTGAACCCGTGAGGTGGAGGTTGCAGTGAGCAGAGACTGAGTCATTGCATTCCAGCCTGGGTGACACAGTGAGACTCCGTCTCAAAAAAAAATATTAACAGGCATGAGCCACTCGGGCACAGTGGCACATGCCTGTAATCCCAGCATTTTGGGAGGCCAAGGCAGGTGGATCACCTGAGGTCAGGAGTTTGAGACCAGCCTGACCAACATGGTAAAACCCCGTCTCTACTAAAAATACAAAAATTAGCCAGGCATGGTGGCACGTGCCTGTAATCCCAACTACTTGGGAGGCTGAGGCAGAAGAATCGCTTGAACCTAGAAGGCGAAGGTTACAGTGAGTGAGATCATTACACTGCACTCCAGCTTAGGTGACAGTGAGATCCTGTCTCAAAAAAAAAAATTAAAGGTTGGGAGCAGTGGCTCACGCCTGTAATCCCAGCACTTTGGGAGGCCGAGGCGGGCGGATCACAAGGTCAAGAGATCGAGGCCATCCTGGCCAACATGGTGAAACCCCATCTCTATATTTTAATATTAAAAATACATATATAGGCCAGGCACAGTGGCTCATGTCTGTAATCCTAGCACTCTGGGAGGCCGAGGTGGGCGGATCACCTGAGGTCGGGAGTTCAAGACCAGCCTGACCAACATGGTGAAAGCCCGTCTTCAAAAAAAAAATTGGGCCGGGCGTGGTGGCTCCAGCCTGTAATCCCAGCACTTTGGGAGGCCGAGGCGGGTGGATCACAAGGTCGAGAGATCGAGACCATCCTGGTCAATGTGGTGAAACCCCGTCTCTACTAAAAATACAAAAAATTAGCTGGGCATGGTGGTGCGTGCCTGTAGTCCCAGCTACTCAGGAGGCTGAGGCAGGAGAATTGCTTGAACCCAGGAGGCGGAGGTTGCGGTGAGCCGAGATCGTGCCATTGCACTCCAGCCTGGGTAACAAGAGCGACACTCTGTCTCAAAAAAAAAAAAAAAAAAATTTAAAAAATTAAAAAAAAAATATATATACACATATATATGTATATATAAAACTATATATGACTAATTCATCAAAGCTGCATTTTCAGAAATATTTCTTAGGATACAGCGGCAGGGCCAGGCTTAAGCCCAGGCCCCTGACCCAGGCTGGGCTGTGGCTCTGTGGCAGGTTGGGGAGGTGGGCTCGGGCTCACCTGAGGTTGCTGAGGTTCTCGGGGGGCAGGTGGCTGCACACTTCTTGGAGAGCCTGCAGCCGGGCCCCTGGCTCCTTCAGGCTGATGGGGGAGTGGAGAGAGCTGGTCAGCCGATGCAGGCCACACCTTTGTATCCTCCTCCCCCGCCACCCCAACATCCTCACCTGGCTGCTCTCATCCAGTCGTCATAGAGGTCGAAGGTCATCAAGGGCTCTGGCAGCTCCCGAAGGTAGGACTTGAGGGCGCCTGAAGCAGGAGCAGGGGAGGGTCACAGGCAGTCCGTACCCCACTCTCCCGCTCTCCCTGCAGAAGGAACCTCTGGCTCTTGTTCACACTAACACGTCTAGGTCTGATAGTTTCTTTGGGCTCCAAGCCCTTTTAAGAAATTGAAGGCTAGCGATCTTGTCCCCTGAAAAATGGACAAACATTTTGCGGGGTGGCTCACGATGGACCCTAAGTGTCCTCAGTCTCCTCAACAGAATATCAAGTCTTAAAGCCAGGCTATCTTGGGATCATTCAAGCAGCGGCACCCCTTCGCCCCAGCCTCCTGCCCAGGGCTCCCGGGATGAGGCACCTGCCACGGCGTGCGGGTCAGAGCAGAACTCCTCCAGGCTGTGAGGGTCCGAGGCCATCGTCTGCTTGAGGCGTTTCAGCACAGAGGCCCCAGCAGCCAGACGGAAGAGCCCCTGGGTTGGAGAGGGAGCAGGCGGGGGTCACAGAGGGGTGGGCAGGGCAGGACAGCCTGGCTCCCCTGTAGCTGGGCTGTGCCAGTGGCCCTCGTGGGGCCTGTGTTCCCACTGGTCTGGCCAGCAAAATGGGTACCACAGTGTCCATGGACTTCAACTCTCGAGGTCTAGAATTCTGAGCAAAGGGTGGGGCTGGGAAGTCTGGGAGGAGCTGGGAAAAGTCCTGGGGAAATCGGAGCCCAGTTAGAAGTGGAAGGGAGGTCACGCACGGTGGCTCACGCCTGTAATCCCAGCACTTTGAGAAGCCCAGGCAGGCAGATCACCTGAGGCCAGGAGTCTGAGACCAGCCTGGCCAACACGGTGAAATCCCATCTCTACTAAAAATACAAAAAAATTAGCTGGGCATGGGGGCGAGCACCTGTAATCTTAGCTAACGGGGATGCTGAGGCAGGAAAATCGCTTGAACCTGGGAGGTGGAGGTTGCAGTGAGCCAGGATTGCGCCACTGCACTACAGCCTGGGTGACAGAGCCAGATCCTGTCTCAAAAACAAACAAACAGACAAACAAAAGGGCTGGGCGCATGGCTCATGCCTGTAATCCCAACATTTTGGGAGGTCAAGGCGGGCAGATCACCTGAGGTTAGGAGTTCAAGACCAGTCTGGCTAACATATAGTGAAATCTCATCTCTACTAAAAAATAAAAAGTTAGCTGGGCCTGGTGGCAGGGGCCTGTAGTCCCAGCTACTCAAGAAGCGGAGGCAGGAGAATTGCTTGAACCCAGGAGGCAGAGGTTGCAGTGAGCCAAGATTACGCCACTGCACTCCAGCCTGGGTGACAGAGCAAGACTCCATCTCTCTCTTAAAGAGATAGACGTGTAAGGGAGAAAGGAGGCCCCAGGGGGATTGCTGGGCAGCTCAAGCCTATTTTGGGGTATCTGCCACCTCTACGGTATAGCTTCAGGACAGGGGACAATGTATTCACAGCAGATCCAGACCCAGCCACTGTGGGCAGTGGAGCATCTGGTTTCAGAAGCACCTTCTCTCATGACTCTGGGCACGGCTACCTTTCCACCTGTCTCCCTCTTGTGAAACGGAGCCAATAAGGGCTTCCTCCAAGTGTTACTGTGATAAGCAAATGAAGCAAGGCTTTTAGCACAGGGCCTGGTGCACGTGAGCATCGACACACAGGAGGAAGTGTGGATGCTGCAGGAGGCAGCCGTGCCTTCTTCCAGGGACCTGGGCTCAAATGCGGGAATCACAGGCACCGGGGCAGGGCAGCATGTGGGGGGTTTGGGACAGAATGAGGGCCCCAGTGTTGCTTCCCCACCTGTCCCAAGGGGCCCCACCTCTTCCTTCATGCCCTCAGAGAGCAGCATCATGACGCAGGCCTCGATGGGCAGGGCAATCTCCCGGCCCAGCTCTCGAAGGTGGGTTGCCAGCGACACCCCATACACCCTGGAGAAGGGGGCTGTCATCGAGGGGCAGTGGTCTGCAGGGATGAGACAGATCAGCGGCCCAGGGCCTTCCCACCCCGGGCAGTCAGGCAGGGCACCCCCAATGTCTTCAAGGTGGTACCACCTGCTACTGACTGTCCAGGCACACATCTGAAATCATCCATCACATCTGTGGACTTGGCCTGCCTCCACTGCCTCTGCCCTAGGCCTGACAGGCCTGGCTCTAGTCCTGTCCCCTTCATTCCACCCTCCACAGGGCACCCAGAGCAGCCTCTCCATCACAGACCAAATCCAGCTCTTGGAACCCATCCATAGCTCCCTGGTGCCTTTCAGACGAAGTGCCAGCTTCTCAATAAGCCCCGGGCAGGGCGGGGCCAGGGATGTGGCATCACCAGGGCTATGTCCCCACCTGCTTGGCCATGGTTCTCCCTCAGCTCAGCCAGGGCTGTGTCCAGTGAGCTCAGTGACCTGCGATGGTAATCGGCCTGAATCTCCAGGAGCTGTGGGGACGAAGGGACACCCTGAGTGGCAATGAGGGAAGCCGAGCCTTCCCCAGGGTCCTTGAGAGCAGGCGTCCTTTCCACCGTCTCACAGGGTCCCAATGGCCCCTAGCTCTGGCATTCAGCCCCCGAGTTCTGGATGGCGGGGGCCCCATCTTGGACTCACGTGAATGAAGTAGTTAGCATAGGAGTCCTCCTTGGTAACAAAGTGGTACAGGTCAGCCAAGTACTCGTCCTTGGGGACACAGAGAGGAGAGTTTATATCGAGTGAGGCTAGGGGGGGTCTAGAGGGGAAGCGGAGGCTTCCAGGCCACACAACTGCAGGTGGAAGGTCCCAGCCAGGCTCCTCTCTCTGCCGAGTTTGGTGCTTGGGGCCAGCCCATGGGAACCCCCTCAAACTCTTCTGGCTTCTCAGCCCCCTCTCTGTGTGCCCATTGCCTTAGCACAGTGGCCTGTTACTCCCCATCCAGCCATTCGTTCACTCACTCACTCACTCAGCAAACACATGGCGACTCAGGGAACAGACCAAGTCTCCGCCTCCCCGTGTTATGCTAGAGTGCAGACAGAAAAGGCTACCCGGGAATGACAGAGCTCTGCTGCCTCCTGGCCACGTGGCCGAGGCAAATCATGTCACCTCTCTGATCTTCAGCTTCCTGGCCTGTGAGATGGGGCCGGCACCCACCCCTGCCAGCCCTGCACATCCAGGGAACCCACGTGGCCCTCACCCTGCACTGCTCCACCTTCCTCTTCAGCTCCTCCTCCTCCTCCTTCAGCGTCTCCACCTTGTTGGCCATGGTCAGGTGGCTGTGACTACCCGGGCCACCTCCCAGGCCTTGACCGCTGCCTGAATTCTTGGCTGCCTGACTGAGCCTGGGGATGATCCCAAGGTGAGCTGTCACCTGCCCTGTTGCATGTCCAGAGCCAAGTGTGCCCTCCATAGAGCAGACCACAAGGGATTCTAGGATTTAGAAGCTGCAAATCTGAGAGCTCCACTGGCCCGGGCCTCTGCCCAGCCTGGGCCATGAGTGCTCTGGGTCGCCCCCTGGTGGCGAGTTTGGTGATCACAGACACCCAGCAGAGTGGAGAATGGGGGAGCCACACCGGCATCTTGCAGGACTGTTTATGGCCATCTGAGGCTTTGGGGTGACCCCAGCACCAGCTGTGAGATGCAGGGTTACACCCCCACAGATACCCTCACCGCCTGTGTTCCTAGGGACCAGGCATGCACAAGCACATACAATGTACTCAGCGGACCCCCTGGCATCCTGGTGCCGCCATCCCTGTGGGCTGACCCAGAGATGAGTCCCCTGAGTGGCTAGGGCTCCCACCTGCTCTTGAGCGTGTTCCAGTCGGATACGAGCTTCTGGAGGCTTTTCTTGTGCTTGAGGATGGCTGGCAGCTCCTCCTGGGGACAGGCATGGCAGGGGAGTCAGCGTGGTGGAGTGGAGGGAGCCGGAAGCTGGGGAAGCTGGGGGCTGGGAGCAGGGCACAGGCTCACCTCACTCAGCCTGCTGAGCGGCTGCAGGACGTCCCTCTCCAGGGTCATCTCAAACTCGGCCAGGATGCGGGCCAGCTGGTTCTGGATGGCACAGCTCATCTTCCAAGGCTTTCCTGTGGACACAGTGGCCCATGGGCCCAGGCTCCCGCCGCCCTCACCTCCACTGCAAACTCTTGCCTCTCCTCCCTCACTTCTGGCCCCTCCTAGATACTCTCCCAGGCCTGGCCACCTTCACTGACCTGGGCACTGTCCCCAGCCTGGTCATTCTTCTGATGTGGATGCCCTCACCACCTGCACCCTCTCCTAGCCGAGATTGCATCTTGGTATCCCCAGGTGAGGGCTGGGCCCCGTCTGTGCTCACCCCATGCTGGAATCGGGGTCCAGCTCCTTGAAGCTCTCCGCCATTGTGGTAGACAGAGCCATGAGGGGAAGCTTCTTCTGCAGGGAGGGCGGGGCCATCGGTGAATGTCCATGCCTCCCTCCACCCTGCCTGAGCACCAGGCCAGCCCCTTGGGGCAGGGGAGGAGGGAACCCAGGAGGGCCATAGTCACAGATAGAGTGGAAATGAGATGACAAGGCATGGTGGGGGTGACTTTCCCTGAGACCATGTACACAGCCCCTACCCATCTGGGGGCTCCTTTGCCTCTTTCCAGAAGCCACTTGACCACGTCCCAGTGGAGACTGGGAAAGTAAGATACAGGGAGAGCAGGGAGCTTGCCCCAGGTCACACGGGCGGAGGGAGAACGGGAGGGGAGCTGGCCTGGGCGTGGGGGCTCTTTCCCCTGTCCCAGGACCTATGCGGCTGACCTGCTGAATTCAAACTCTCTATGCCTCCCCATTTCCTTGCCTTGGCCACACTGAATTGTCAACTGGTTCCAAAACATGCCCGCCCCCCACTCCCACTCCATCTGGAGAACACCAGCTCTGGGATCAGAGACCAAGGTTCAAACCTCAGTTCTGCCACTTACTAGCTATGTGACCTTAGGCAAGTGACTTTACCTGTAAGCCTCCAATTCCTGATCTATAAAACAGTGCCTTCCCCTAGGATGTTACCCGTGTTCCCTGAGACAATGTGCTAACATGTCAGCACAGGCTGGCAGTCATCAGCCACCTCTTGATTAATATATGAGTATCCCACAAAAGCCAGCTCAATTGCCACCTCCTTCAGGAAGCCCTCAGAGGCTGCCCAATGGAGAGCCTGCTCTGCGTGCTGACTGGACAGAAGTTCAGGGGCTGTCAGAGGCCTGGCCTTGGCTTACGTGGACTGGGCACAGGGAAGTGGGGTAGACGTGAAGAGAAAGGTACAGGGCCATTGGAGTGCAGTGCCAGAGGTGCCTTGGAACAGAGCAGCCTCCATGCCCTTGTGCCAGATACTCAGACTGGCAAGGAAAGCCCAGCCCCAGCCTTGCTTCCCCATTGGACAGGCCCCTCCTTCCTGGGACCCCCGCTCACCACCCGCTTGTCCATGTCTGCCCCGCTCTGGCCCTGCAGACAGGCCTGCAGGCGCTTGTGGACGTTGTGGGCTGCTCGCTTGGCTGGCTCCAGCCGCTGTTCCACCTGGGAAGGAGGTGTGATTAAGGATCAAGAGAGGCTGTCTCCCACTGAGCAGGAAAAACTCTCCTGTCCCCTGGGGACCCCACGGCCAACAGCTTAAGGAATGACTCAACGGGGCCCCTACCTGGTGTCCCCGCCCCAGCCCTCTGCTCCGGCAGCCTGCACAGGCCTGCCCTCCCATCCGCCGGGCCCGGGCACGTACCTGCAGCAGGTCCTCGCCCAGGAACTCAGCGGTCTCCGGGGTGCTGCGGGAGCGGGGAGAGCGCTTCTGCTGAGCCTGCCTGGGTTAGGATGCCCCCTGCTCCCCCAACCCCCGCAGCAGGCCACCTGGACCCCAGTCCTTCCAATGTCCCTCCCAGGTGCGGCCCGCCCTGGGTGGCCCAGTTGCTTCATCCCAGTCGGAGCACATTCCATGGGGGTGGGAATAGGATACTCGGGTTTTTCCTCCTCCACCCAAGGCCCCGTCCTGAGAGCGGGCGGGCAGACAAAACTGCAGAGGAGGCTGGGAGACCCGCCCAGGGCTCAGCTTTGGGACACAGAAGCCTCTCTTCTGCTCACCCCCAAATCGTCAGCCCACCCCGGGAAGAGGAGGATTAGCTGGCCCCAAGAACGGGAAGTCGGGGAGCTCAGACTCCTGGGCACAGTCAGTCACACAGCACTCTGGACTACGGCCTGTGGGCAGGGGTGCACGGGGTCTTGGCCTCCCCACCTGGGGACACACGGGGCATGCCGAGGCCCACGGCAAGATGGCCTGACTGCCCAGGCTACATAGGGATCTGGGCCAGTGTGAGACTAGAACCAGGTCTCTGGACACTCAGCCCCCTCCCGGGGGCCCAGAGAATGGGGAACTCCTGAGGCTGGGAGAAGAGGAGCAGAGAAGACAGGCCCTCAGAGGCTCCCCAAACTTCCGGCCCCCGGGCCACCAGCTCAAAGGCTGGGTGGGGGTGGGAGCTGGGAGACCTGGGGACGTTTCCACCTGAGTCTGGGAAAAGCAGAAACGAGACAGAGAAGCAGGAGGCCCCAGGACTGGGGGGAGGGGAAGGGACGCGGCAGGCCGCGGGCCAGGACCCGACTCCTTCCCCCACCCCTGGTCTGCGGCCCCAATCGACCCTCCTCCCTCCCGAGCCCAGCAAGCAGAGATGGTGAACTGGCCCATTGTCCAGAGGGGACAAGTGAGGCCAGGAGGACCATCCACTCAGAGACTCATGGAGGGAGGCAGAGAAGTCCCAGCGTCCTAGGGCAGAGCGCATTCTTCCGCCTGAAGCCCCCATCCAATCCGATAAAGGGGGTGGGCACCCCCCCCCCCAGAGGCCACCCCTGCTCCTCCAGCTCTGCCCGAGACGGGGACGCCGTTCGGAAGGGAGGAAGAGAAGGCGGGACTCTGGCCGCTCACGGGGGGCTGCCCAGCTGTCCCCAGCCTCCCCCACCCCCGTCTCCCCCCACCCTTTTACGCCCCCTCAGGTCCTGCGGGGTAAGAGTGGGGGCTGGAAGGGGTGACACTCACCGTCCCAAGCTGCCCGTCTGGGCCAGCTGCCGCATGCGGTGCAGCTGCCTCTTCATCATCTTGGGGGCGGGCTGGGGGCCGCGGGGTCACGGCGGGGGGTCGCAGGCCCGGGCAGCCCCCGGCCCAGCCTGCCTCTCCCGCGCCGCGGCTCTCGCCCCGGATGGGTGGGCGGCGCTCTCGCTTCCTGGGCCGCCGCGCGGATCTCGCTGGCGGCCGGCTCTCTCCTCCCCCGCTCACGACTCCGCCCCCGGCCCCCAGGTCACTCCTCTCTCCAAGTTGGTTTCCGCGCTCTCCCCCGGCTTCCGGGCCCCCGGCGACCCCCGGCCGGGCCCCCGCCGCGGACTGTCCGCCGGCCGCGGGCAGTCCACAGGTGGCGCCCGGCTCCTCCTCCCCGCGGTGCCCCGCCCCGCCGCGGTGGCGGGAAGCAGGTAAGCCCGCTCCTGCCCCCGCGCCCGCAGCCCGCCCCAAGCGGGGTGCCTGCCCCGCCCGCAGCCAGCCGGCCCCGGGTATAAACAACCTTTGCACCCCTCGTAGAGAAAGACGGTGCCGCGCGAAGGGAGGGGTAGGCCTTTCTGACCTGTCTAGTCCCTCTGGGCCTGCAGGGGATGCTGCCTGCCCTCCCTCCCGCACAGTTCTTCTGGCCCCCCAAGAACTAACCCCCCAGCCGCTGGATGACTGACTTGGAGCTTTGGCTTCCTGGGGCCACGGGCTGTTGTGTGGCCGCGGACAAGTCCCTGGAACTCCGGACTCGCTATCTGCAATAGTCTGATGGGCCAGCTGCCCTGGGCCTGCCCATCCAGCAGAATGGACAAGACACCTCTGCCTGCTCCCTTTAAGGGAGGTGCGTGCCACCGTCCAGCCACCTAGGAACCGTCCCAGATCAGTTCCCTGACACCCTGTTCTCCACATCTGGCGGCAGTTCGCTCTGTTGGTGAAGCTCATCACCTCTCATTCCTCCTGGCAAACAGCCTCAGTGCCCCTTCCTTCTTGGAGGGCAATGATGTGGGTGCTGCTCTGACCCCCCCAAACTCACTAGTTCTCTTTGGTCAACACAGAGTTAGGCATACAATAGGTGCTCCATAACTGCTGGTTATACAAGACCTGAGAGCCTTTGGGAAACAGTAGGCTCTCCTTACCCTGCACCCCTGTGGCATCAGGAGCCGCAGGGGTGGGGAAGAGGGGAGGGTGTGCCGCAGACTCCCGCCACACCCGCTGCACTTTGCTTTGTTAGTTTCAGTTTAGTTTGCGACTACTTGAGCAACCACCGCGTGCTGACAGGGCGCCCGCAGACCTCAGAGGCAGGACCTTGGCCCCAGACATCTCCACACTCCCTGTGCCCAGCTCAGGGCCTGGCACACTCACTGGCTGCTTCTCTCCTCCCTAATGGGCAGGCCTCACTGAGGGTGGGAGGAGCCTCATAACAGCTGCCTGCTATGGCCAGAGCCTCCCAGCTGGGAGCCCACCTGAGCGTGGAATCCTGGTGGGAAGTTGGGAGGCTCCAGGATCCAAGTTCAGGCCAGGAGGAGATGCCAGGCAAGGTTCCCTCCCCCATCTCCCTTTTCCCAACATGGCCAGTGACTATGGGTGGCATGGTAAGGGAACCTCAGGTACCACCCTTTCAGTCCCTCAGAAAGTCTCTGGACTATGTGGTGCCCCTGCTCTGTTCCAGTCAAGCCTCCAGCCCAGAACACACTGGGCTCTGGGCTTGTCTGGTTCTCTAACTCGTCCAAAGGTCCTTGAGGGCAAGGCTTGGCTTGTACCTCTGTCCCTTCTAGATTTGCCCAGTCCTGAGGCCCAGCTCTGTCCTGGGGAGGGGTCAGTACATGTGGGTTGTAACAGCAGCTGTGGTGGAAACTACCAGAGCCTTATCATCAGGCTCAGCTGTTGTCCCCATCCCTGTCCTGGTCTCCAGAATCCCCTCCAGCCAGACCCAAGGGTCCTTCCTGGGCAAGAGGTGCCCAGTTTGAGTTGGATTCAGGCCGGGCTGCTGTGCCTCCTAGCTGGGTGATGGGTAGATTTTAGGCCCTCCCTTGACACACCTGGATGTTGAATCACAGAAGGATGGACTCTCCAAAGGCTCGGTTAGGGTTACGTACGGGCTGCTTCTTAGAAGGGTGTTGTAATCAGACTTACGGACTCAGAAGTGTTCATCCGTGGGTGTTGGAATCATGGCCTTTCTAAACTGCAGACACAGAAGGGGGATCGCAGAGGTCCCCAGCCAACCCCTCCTGGGGCCCTTCCCCAATACAGGGGCCTGTTGACCCGGGTGGTTATCAGGCTGGTTTTAGCTGGCTCCTGCTGAATCTTTGGTTTGGGGGTGGGGCGAGGGGGAGCGGGCAGCAGTGTGTCTGTCACAGGGTCTCAGACAGCAGGAAAAGAGACAGTTTGAGGGTGTGGAGGCAGCCAGCTGGCCAGGCTCTGGCTCTCACTAGCTGGGTGACCTCAGCTGGGACACTTCACCTCTCTGAGTCTCAGCATCCATCCTCGGTGAATTGGAAACAACAGTACCTACCTCATAGAAGGGTTAAGTGAATTAATATATGACAGATGCTTAGAAAAGTGCCTTGCGCTGTTTCTTGTCACCATCATTATTCGGCTTGCCAAGTCAAGAATGGAAAGACCCTCTACCCCCATTCCTGCCCCAGTGACCCCTGTATGTGTCTAGCTGCTCCGGGACAATGAGGCTTTTTGTCATGTGCTATAGCATATCCTCCAGAGAGGCTGGTATCACTGTCCCCATTTTACAGGTGAACAGCCTGAGGCTTCTGGCCCCAGGTCCCCAGCTGGGAAAGTAGTAGAGGCCAAGCCAGGAAGCGGATCTGCCAGTCTCCTAAGCCCACGTGGGCTCTCCTGGTGTGCCAGACCCAGACAGCATTGCATGGGAGCTCCAGAAATGCTTGCAGCAACCCTGCGGTTGCTTTGAGGGGTCTGGCAGCCTCTGAGCAGATTTGTCTGTGAAAGCTGTCCGGGCAGCTTGTGCTGGTGAGGCTTGAGCAGGATGTGGGCAGGGAGGTCAGCGGCTGGGTGGTGGTGGATAGCAGGGGTCAGTAGCAGGGGCTGCAGGAGCAAAACCATCCCATTTGAGACTGACAAATCGCTTGTCTAAAAGCATTCAGCAGTGCTGCTGTGTGTGTGGACTTCCACCCAGTCCACCCAGAGCACCCGGGGCCACAATGAGACCTCAGGGGCTCTAAAAACTAGCCGCCCCCCGCCCCCTCCCCGCCCCCCCCGCCCCCTCCCCGCCCCCCCCCCACCCGCCAAGCCCAAAGGACTTTCCAGGAAATCCTGGGGTGGTGCCGAGGTCTGAGGATTCCATGTTAATCCTGATAGCCCTGGAGGAGTGTGGATTGAGCCCAGCCCCCAGAGGACAGCCTGACAGAGGCTGGGGGGAGGGCTTGGGAGGTACGGGCAATGTCCCTTCTGGTAGACATCTCAAGACTGCAGGCCCAGACTCGGCGCCTAATGTGCGACTTGAAGCCTCACTTCCCATTTCACAGGGCAGTTAAGAGGCTTAAGGGGGAGAATGCAGGCTTCAGGTCTACCGTGGTACCAAGTCTAGGGGCTCCTCTAGCCTGCCTTGCGGGGCTGGTGCCCCGGTTGGGAGGCCCAAAGAGACTCGGGGAGGGGGCGTGTTGAGAGACCAGGCAGGTGGATCGCTTGGGCCCAGGAGTTCCAGACCAGCCTGGGCAACCTGGCAAAACCCCGTCTCTATAAAAAATATTAGCTGGGCGTGGTGGCACATGCCTGTGGTCCCAGCTACTGAGGAGGCTGAGGGGTTAGGACTGCCTGAGCCCAGGACGTCCGGGGTGCAGGGAGCTGTGTTCACAACACTGCCCTCCAGCCTGGGTGACAGAGAGACCTTGCCTCCAACAGACAAAAACCAAAAACCCGACTAGGCAGGGGCAGGCTCCCAGGCTCTCGCCACTTCTCCTGGCTGCCCAAACAGATGAGCAGTGTGCTGCGGTTGCCGAAAACCAAAATTAACTGCTGCCTCAGCCGAAGCAACAGAAATGGAAGTGTGGCTTTGAGGGCTGGGAAGTCCCACTGCTCTTGGCATGGCACTGGGCGGGGGTCACCCTTCAAGACATCACTGAATGCGCCCCCCAGTGCACCGCAGCCCGAGACTGCAGAGTGCAGCGGTCCGGACTGTGTGCGGCAACACGGTATGTAGGGAAGGCCCCCGCAGGGAGTGAGGCCCAGGGGCCTCTCCTCTGGTTAGACCCGCACCCAGACTCTCAGGCAGACGCAGGGCTCCTGTGGTACCCCATGTCTTTGCTTTCAGCGTGCCACACTGGCTCACACGTCCTTGCCAGCTTGTGAACTCTTGGGATGGGGCTGCTCAAGAAGCACTGGCATGACTGAGGGGACGGGCGGGTTAAGGATAAGGCCAGGGAGGAGGCGCGGCCCGGAAGAGGGGCCCCTTGCTTGCGGATGAGTGTTAGAGGGCGCACAGGCTGGGGGGCAGGCGTGCCAGGCGATTCTCCAGCTGTGTCAACTGTATCTAAGGAGAAGGGTTCAGCTGCCAACTTCTTACTGGGAAACACTAGACAAAGTGAAAACGGCTTCTTAAATGAGGGACTTCCCAGGGTCTTTATGGGCTCATCAGCTCGCTCAGGAGAAACTGTGGGCAGCCTCCCCCCACTCAACTGAGCAAGGACTGCTTTTTGCAGGGCAGGCCTTGCACACAACGGGGCCCATCTGCCTGGACCAGTGCCCCCTTGCCAGAGGGCTCTCTCAGCTGTGTGGCCTCAAGGCCACACCCGAGCCTGGACCCCAGCCTCCTGGTTGGAGAAAACTCTGATAGTCCTACGTGGGGTGGTAGAGCTGCCGCTGGGAGGGGAAGGGGGCCCAGCTCCAGGTCCCTGGGTCTGCATGGAAAAACTCAGGGCTTCCTGGGACCATCTGGGGAGAGGGAGAAGCTGGGCTCTGACCTCCCTCCAGGGAGCTGCAGCGTCGAGCTTGTGTGGAGGGCTGAGCACAGCAGGAGGAAGTTGTAAGCAGCCAGGGGCCTCCCCCTCAGCATCTGCAGCAGCTGGGGCTCCTGCCAGGCCCTGGCGCTCCCTCGCTTCCAGCTGGGACGGCCCTGGCCCGCCACAGCCCAGGGCCCTCTGTGGTGACTCAGCACTGGCCACAGGCCCCTTTGCAGGGCCTCTTCCTGTGTAGGGCCCAGGGATGGTGGGGAGGGGGCCCACGGCCTGACCTCCAAAGACGGAAGCAGAGAGCTCTACAGGGCGGCCCCAGGGACCCTGAACTCGACCCCTCCTGACTCCCTTAACCTCTGAAGGGCCACGACAGCAGCTAGTCCAGGAAAAACAAAGTTTTATTTTCATAAATACTCCTGCTCTCACTCACATACTGCCCCTACTTCTGACCACGGACAGATGGATGG